GGGCCTGCCTGTCTGCCTGCCTGTCTGGGTCGCGTACTTGACGTCAGAGTAGTAGATGATGGTGATGCGCCTGTTGTTGCCTTTCAGCTTTCGAAAGACGTCACTCGAGGCGCTCACGCCGAAGTGGATGAAGTTGAAGGGCAGGGAGACCAGACCCCTCTCACCTGACACACCCACCAACCACACCACACACCACACAACACCACACACGCGTGGATGACCGCATCGTGAACCAATCCACTGATTGAGGCTTGCCTGCAAACAGGTCCATGAGCTCGTTGTTCTGCACGCCCTTAATCACCGGCTGCTCCGGCAGCGACAGACTCCGATACTCTGGCTCGTGGGGGTCAATCTCAACTAGAGCAACAGCAACACCACACCATGACACACCATGACACACACACTTTGTTCCCTCTCTGTGTGTGGGACTCACAAGCTTGTATGTCATCATCACTGGGACACAGACACAGGCACGTGGCGGCCGTCTTAACGATCTGCATGGCCTCCCTCAGACACGAGTCGGCCGTGAGGGCGACCTCCGTCTCGGCCACCTCGGCCGCCTCCTTCTGCGTCGTTGCCGAGTGGAACAGATAGATGCCGCCGCCTATGGGGATGAGGTGGATGCCCACATAGACCAGGAACTTGCTCAGGCCCCAGCCCTTCCTCTCGCCCTCGGCTGCCGGGCCCTGCGCAAGTGCAGTGGAGCGGACACACACACACACACACACACACACGGACGACATACCAATATGACTGAGTGAGTGGAGCGAGGCAGTGCAGGTGGACACACCTGAGGTCTCGGGTAGAAGCCGGCAAGCTGCTCGGGAGAGGGCCCTTGTGTGGGGTAGTATCCGCCGGCTGCTGTCGATGCTGTTGCTGCCGCATCCACCGCAGCAGCTCTGCGAGCGGACGTGGCGCACAATCGTCGATCACTCCAGCTCCATCTCAGCGGCATCTTGGGCATGAGTGCATCTGCCGGCTGCGTGCTGTGGGCGGCGGCGCATCTTGCTGCTTGCCTCTGAGCTGCTCGTGAGCAGATCATGACGCTGCGGAAAGGTGCAAAAAGGCAACGAACGCTGAGGCGATGGGATGTTTGTAGATCTCCTTAGAAGAGCAACAGACACACACTTTGACGCTGCTGCAATGGGCCTGTGGTGGTGAATTGCCCCTCGCGATCGCAAACCGGTTTGCGAGCTTGAATGAAGAGCTGATGAATGGCTTCGCTTTCTGGAACCCTCCAGACGCTATCCAGCACGTCCCTCCGCCCCAACTGGCGATCACTCATCAGCAACGCGCCTCCTCAACACGACGAGTGGCAGGCCTTCCTCGCGGCTGATCTCAAGCAGATAGTGGCCCGGGGCTCCCTCGCCGGACCTATCGACTCCACACACGGCACCGCGCTGCAACCAGGGAGGGTGCTGGCGCAGATAGAGGATGTGGTGGACATCGCTCGTCCCATCAAGAACAGAAAGGCGGGCGAAGAGGGGGACGGCGGGCAGAGGAAGGGTCCCGGAGGGGGCGAGAGGGCGCAGCGGGCGCTCAAGTTTCGGCTGACGGATGGGAGGGTGACGTTTGAGGCGTTCGAGTACCGGCGCATGGCCCACGTGCCGAGCGATGGCTTCTTCCCATTGCAGAAGTTGCTCATACAGGTGAGATGAGAACAACAGCCGTCAAACACACACACACACACACATGCACAGTGATCCACCTGCTCTGCGTGTGTGTGTGTGTGTGTGCAGGGCGGGCCGCTGATCCGTCGTGGGCAGGTGCTTCTAACCGCCGACAACGTCACCCTCCTGCACGAGCTGCCGCCGTTGCGTGGTGGCGGCGACGACCCATCCGATGCCACAGCTCTCGCCCTCCCCTCTGCGTCCACCCACCCAGCAGCAGCAGCAGCAGCAGCAGCGAATGCCAACAAGAGAGCCAAGAGAGCGCCACCAAGCAACAACGGCAACGCCTTCATCAGTCAACAGCCATTTAACAATGCTGCACGGCCACCACCCCCAGCCCTCTTCCCGCCACGCCCACGCCCACGCCCGTTGCCGCCCCCTGCGCGTGTGGTGCGGCCGAGAGGACCGGCGAGAGCACCGCAGGGGATGACTGTCGCTTATGAGGGCCAGCAGCAGCTGCAGCCGATGCAGCCGATCCCGACGATGCCGTCCTCGATGTTTGATGATGATGCCGACCTTGACGATTTGCTGGACGGACTTAACGATCTAGTACCACCACCTGCCGGAGCTCCTGTGGCTCTTCCTGCAGCTGCTGTTCCTGCGGCGGCGGCGGCTGCTGCTGCTGCGGCGCCAGCAGATGCTGACATAGAGGACCTGCTTGACGACATAGACTTCGGTGGGCTGAATGAGGAGCAGCCGATGAGAGATGGAGCAATGATGGACACAGAGGTGGAGGGGGGAGAAGAGTGGCGTTACGTGGCGGTCCACGCCGCCCGGCTGAGGTACAGGCGAGAGGGGCAGGATGCCGTTCTAGACCCCCAGCGGCTGACGATTGAGCTCTCCCTCATCGACAGCAGCCACCCGGAGCTGCCCTGCATCCGCGCGATGGCGGCAGCGGACATCTGGACAGACCACCTTCCCACCCTGCCGGCAAACATCCCCCTGCAGCCGCCACCGCCAGCAGCAGCAGCTGCAGCAGCAGCAGCAGCAGCGAGTGATGGCACCCCGGCGCTTTTCGAGGGCGCGGCGAATGAGACGGTCTTGTCTGTGTGGCTTCCCGACCTGCTGGCGTTCCACGGCTGGGTGTGTCTGGTGGGGACTCATGAGAGGCTGCCTGACTGTGGGGGGCCGGTGTATCGCGTGACGGGGATCTCCTTTGTGCAGCCCTTTGCGTGTGCGGACGGGGTGGGGGAGCGGCTGGCGAACGCTGAGAGTGCTGTCGATGGAATCCTTATGAGGTGATGTTGCTAGCTCTATTGCTGTGTACAGTTTTGTTCGTGTGTGCGTATTGTGTGGCGAGGTGACTATTTGTTTGCTCGTTGACTGACGACAGATCGTGGTATGAATGAATGAATCGAAGCATTTCGGTCATAGACAGGCATACACGCATTGACGAGTAGTCATGGGTGGGAGGGGAGAGGGGGTGGATCGGTCGGCAAAACGTCCGTCTGGCAGGAAGGCAGGAAGGAAGGTGCCAGCCAGCAGAGGGGACACCAGACAGACAGACAGGCAGGCATTCACGCGCACACACACGACGTAAGAGTGTACTTATCGACTATCCCTCTGTTGCTTGTTTGCTGGCTCGATGCTTGAAACTGGAGGGAGCATGGCACCAGTCAGCCGACCATCGCTCCGCTCCTACCGTACTCTTTTGCTCTCCTCGTCGACCGACACCCACAGACATGCACACGCACGCAAAACGACGGCAGGCACACACACAGATGTAAACCAACAGCACATCTGTGGACTGCACGAGCCCGGCAGGCAGGGAGGGAGGGAGGAGGGCCGGCGCAAAAATAGCCAAGGAGGAATGCATGGATGGTCGCTGGCTTGCTGCTGCTCGTGCTTGCTGCTATGGAAAACTCCCTTGTCTGTCTGTCTGTCTGTCTCACGTAACCAGACAGACAGACGCGCACATGGATCGGTTCACGCACGCACAGAGCACATTGAAACGAAAGTGAAGTGGCGTGCGCGTGTGGGTTGTGCACCACAGATAAAGTTTGTCTGTCGCCTTGGCTCGTCTTGTCTCGTCGTGGCCACACACACATCGCATGGGGCACGCACACGCTCATAAGCACACAGGACACACAAGCAAGTGTCGAATTAATGGCCTTTGTGCGCAAGACATACACACGCGCAAACACACTCACACAGACACATGGATGGATGGATGGATGGATGCGATACGCATGGAAGCTCTCTCTCCCTCTCCCTCTTTGTGGCGTTGTGCTCCGCTCTAATGTGTGTGCGCGCAGGCACTCATGTAAAGTTTCCACCACCCTAATTGGACCGCTGTCTTCCCATCCGTCGGTCGGAACAGACATCGCACACACATCACGCACACGCAAACAGACAGAGAGCCATCAGTCCTCCATCAACAAAACCATGTGATGTGCGCGCGAGGGAGGGATGGGCGAACGAGACAGAGGGCGAGAGCGAGAGCGGGTGGGCGGTGGGTGAGTGCATAAACCCTCCACAGATATCCACACGCACACACACAGGACGTCGGGAAAGTGAGTGGAGTGCCACCAGACGAAAACAATTACAGTGCACCATGGACAGATGAAACATATCGACGTTCTTCACTCCGAGCAAGATGCCGAGACTTTCAACACGCCGTCGGTGCTGCCTCGCCCACAAATCCCTTCACAGGTTCGCGGGCATTGCATCACTGACGGTAAGTCAAGTGTCAGTCATCTCACAAAGCGACTAGAACACGGATGTCGATCACCTGAAGGCTCCTGCAACCATGTGAGCCGTCAGGTGTGCGTGTTCCGACAGATGGTGAGGCGGACCCATCTCAGCCGCATCGCTGCCCAAGGATGCGGCTGGGATACGCCCGCTTCGCCATCTCCAGGAACCGACGACACGAGACGAGACGCGTAGAGAGAGAGTTACGTATGCCGGCGTGAAACAGCAAGGGGGTGAGAGCGAGCGAACCAACTAAAATACTTACTTACGCCATGCAGGCAGGCAGGCAGGCAGGCAGGCAGAGAGGCAGGCACAAAATCGCCCCCCCGACACACAGCACACATGTCCCTCCCTCCCTCCCTCCCTCTCCCCTCTCTCTCCATGAAGAGAAAGCAACAACCATGATATATAGATCATACGTATACGGTGTACGCCCTTCCTTCGTTGCCTCCCGCTGGTTTGTCTAAAGCGCTGCGAGTGCGGGTGGTGGCGCCGTGACGGAACCCGTCTTTAACCAAACCGGTCCGCCGTGTTCGTTGGACATTCTGCTGATGAGGCTGCCGAAGACCAGACTGATGATGGCCGACAGCTTCACCAATATGTTCAGGGAAGGGCCGGATGTATCCTGATCCGCACACACCATCACATCACACACGCAGGAAGGGAGGGGCGATCCGCGTGTTTTGTGTTTGTGTGTGCGGTTCGGTGTGTCTTGTGTACCTTGAGAGGGTCGCCGACGGTGTCGCCTGTGACGGCATTCTTGTGTGCGGCACTGCCCTTGGCGTGATCGGGGCCAAGTGCGCCAGACTGACCATCACACGCATCAGACCCAACACAACACAGCGGCATCAGTATAGGCCCTCAGGTGATGCATCGATCGCCTCTGTCCTGACCTCGATATACTTCTTGGCGTTATCCCATGCGCCTCCTGAGTTGGACGCCGAGATGGCCAGCTGAATGCCCGACACCAACGCCCCCACAAGCAGACCTGCACACACACACACACACACAGAGGGAGAGAGAGAGAGGGCCGATGGATGCACCTTAGGTGGTGGTGGTGTGTTTGTCTGACCGGCTGTGCAGTTTCTGCCGAAGGCGAGGCCGAAAAGGATGGGCGAGAGGATGACGAGCGCGCCGGGTGCGATCATTTCCCTCAGTGACGCCTGGGTCGAGATGGAGATGCACTTCTCGTACTGCGGCTCCATCGTCCCGTTGATGATGCCCGGGAACTGATCCAGACACTCTTTCACCTAACCACACACACACACACACACGCACACACACACAAGTTCCCACCCACACCATTCTTTGTGCTATCGTTCCCTCGCGCACGCACCATATCGTTTGCGGCGACGCCGACGGACTTCATGGTCATGGCGGAGAAGGCGTAGGGCATCATCGCGCCAAACAGCAGGCCGCTGAAGGTCCAAGTGTCCAGGATGTCCACTGAGGCGATCTTGGCCCGCACCGTGTAGGCGCCAAAGAGGGCGAGCGACACAAGCGCTGCGGACCCGATGGCAAAACCTTTACCTGCACCACACACACAGACGGGAAGACGTAGAAGACCTCTGTGTGTGTGTATGGGTGTGATGGGTACCTACCGATTGCGGCGGTTGTGTTGCCGGCGGCGTCGAGGGCATCAGTGCGGTACCTGACCTCACCACCAAGACCCGCCATCTGCACACACACGCACACACCACACACCTCTCAATGAGCCCGGCTGTTTTTGGTCTGTCGGGCGCCTGGCCTGATGCCGGGCTGACCTCTGCGATTCCTCCGGCGTTGTCACTGATGGGCCCGTACGCGTCAATGGTCAGCCCCATCGTCAGAGTCGACAGCATACCCAAAGCGGCTAGAGCAATTCCATACTGAGCCGAGCACACACACACACACACACAGGGGGACAACCGATTGACGCGTGTGTGCAGGGTCGGATGGATGTGTGTGTGTGTATTGGCTAGGGCTGACTGACCATTCCGCAGAAGGAGTGCGCCACACAGACAGAGATGGCGATACAGATGACGGGTATGACGGTGGACATGTAGCCGAGGGCCATGCCGTAGATGATGCCCGTGGCTGCTGACACAATCTGGGTGCGACTGATCTCCTGCACACACAACACAAGAGAGAGAGGATAGATCATTGTGTGTGTGGTGTGTGTGGTGGTGGCCGTAGATGAAGGGAAGGCACGTACCCTGACGGGGTAGTATGAATGTGAGGTGTAGTATTCCGTGACGTAGCCGATGATGAGGCCCGACCACAGACCGAGCAGCACCGAAATCATCGCCTTCCACCTACACACACACACACGCACACACGCCCATAAACCATCGCACCCATCCTCTGTGTGCTGTCTGTCTGTCGCATCGCTGCCCTCCCTCACCAGAGCACTTCGAGCGTGGTAGTGCCCGACACGAGAGTGAACTTCTCAGGCAGGAAGAGTAGCGACAGCACCACAACCAGGGGCGTCTCCAGCCCAGTCGAAATGAACAACACGCCCTTCAGCGCCTGATGCTCGACCACACACACAGCACAAGCACGGTCAGACACCTTCTGTCTGTCCCTCCTGGCTGACTATTCTCCCGTTCTCACTCACTGGCCGACCTTTTCGATGTCCGAGATCTCCCTGACGGGGATGAACACCCTCACGGCAATGATGGTCAGCAGCCCCACAATGATGCCCGTCGAGGATATCAGCACCGGGTACATCAGCCCGGCCCACGTGGCGTTGAGCCCGCTCGTCTTGGCCCCCGCAATCACCAAAGCGGCACACGTCGACTCGGCCAGCGACCCGAACAGGTCGGCGCCCATCCCAGCCACGTCGCCCACGTTGTCCCCCACGTTGTCCGCAATACACGCGGGGTTCCTGCACGGACGGCAAAGAGACAGACGGGGGAATTCGCTTCGCAGGCAGGATGGCCAAAAAGTCGGCAGACCTTGGGTCGTCTTCGTCCATGCCGAAGTCGTTTTTGCCCGAGAGGTCGGCGCCCACGTCCGCGGCCTTGGTGTAGATGCCGCCACCCACACGCGCAAAGAGGGCGATCGACGAGCCACCCAGACCATAACCTGGGCACATGTGTGCGACAAACACGGCAACACAGCCACCCGGTGAACGTGTCTTGTGTGTCTGGTGTGTCTGTCTGCGGTAGCTTCCTTCGACCGACCAGCGATGGCCTCGAAGCATGCCTGTGTGTCCATGTTGGGTATCAGGCGATAGATGACGATCAGGAGGAACAGGTTGATAACGCCCAGCGAAGTCAACGTGAAACCCATGACAGAGCCGGCACGAATCGCCACCTCGAAGGCAGGACCTGACACACCACGCACACACCACACGAGGGCACCACAGTGAGAGACGGAGGGAGGGAGAAGTGTTGCTGTGCTGCTGGCTGGCTCTCACTCACCGAGTTCCTTCCAAGCCTCGTGTGAAGTGCGGACGTTGGCATAGACTGCGATCTTCATGCCGATGTAGCCGCACAGAATGGACGTCAGGGAACCCACAATGAACGACACCATAGTCGCTGCACACAACCACACACACACACACGACAGGGGTGGACAGAGAGAGAGAGAGAGAGAGAGAGAGAAACACGTGTTGCAAGATTGACCCTCCCGGCTTGGCACGTTTCTTTCCCTGGCTGGCTGACCAGGGTCGACGAAGAAGGCGATGAACACAGAGAAAACCACGATGTATACCGCCATGTACTTGTACTCCTGATAAATGGATGGATGGATGGAGGCGATCGACAGACACGACAGACAGACAACAGACAGACAGACACAGAGGGAACCGAGAGGGAGCACACCACATAATCGATTGCAGTGAGTCGGTGTGTCTGTGTGTGTGCGTGTGTGTGTGTCCGCACCTGTAACAAGAATGTGTTTGCTCCCTTGGCGATGTTCTCGGCAACGCTCTTCATCTGCTTGAGCTGATTCTCCACATTCTCGCCGGGCTGCACAGGCAATCACACACACACCACCATCGTCAGCCAACAGAAGATCCAAAAGGGTCAGATCTCTCCCGCCACCTCCACCCTGCCCCTCTGCGCCTTTCTCCCTGAGCTGAGCTCACCTCAGTGTCTGAGTGAATGGGCGCCCTCATGGTTTTGTCCCCCCCGTTCGGCCCGACCAGCTGGATCCTCGTCACAAACACCGTCTCGTACACAGACCATATCAGCCCCACTATCGGCGGAAGGATCAGCAGCAGCGTCACAGACAGATCAAGCGACGGGCCTTCCGGGATGATCATCCTCACTGACGGCGGGGATGATGTGTGTGCGTGTGTCTGGGAGGGGAGAGGAAGGGGAGGGAGAGAGGTGGGAAAAAGGGCGGTTGGGACGCCTGCTGCTGCAAAGGGGAAAGGGTGCTGCCAGCTCAGCTGACTGTTGCGAGCTTCAAGGCTAAGCTCGCTGCAGATCTACTGGACGCGGATTTCGCTCCGTTTGAGGCCCTGCAGGCCTCCAGACGTGCCGCAGCTGCCTCCTCTCCTTGCCTGAGCTGAGAACTTTCCGATCTGTAGCTTTCCTGTGAGCGCGTAGCTGACGGTTGCCGGCTGGGCCGGCCTCCTGCCTGCCTGCCTGCCTGCCTGTCTGCCAGCAGCTGGTTTGCTTGATCAGCGCGTAGAGTGTGCGGCATATCGGCAGACAGTGCCGTGCCCGATGGTGACACGGAGATCGTCATGCTTCCTGGCTCTGGTCTTTTGCTACCAAGGTGAGGGCGGCCCACACAGGGAGCAGGCTGGCGTCTCTCGCAGATGAGGCGTGGATTGGCTTCGTTGTGTGTGTGTGTTGGGCTGACTGTGTGTTGTGCAGCGTTGTCGTACAATGTGGTTGCTGTGGCGCTGGCAGCGTCTGCAGCTGACGATGCCGCCTTCTCGTCTCCTTTCGCTCTCCTGCGTGCGACTCGATTAAGAGGTACGCGGCGTCGCTCACTGCATCCGTGAGAGCTGAGCATGTGTCTCGTCTCATGTGTGGATGCTTCTGTGTGTATGGGCAGGTCTGATGCGTCAGCGGCAGGCGCCCGAAGTGCCCGTGCGCCGATCAGTCGCCACCCTGGAAAGACCTACCACGGTGCGGGCGGGCACACACCCACACCACGCGCAGACAGAGGAGTGCTGGATGGCCTTTGTGTGTGGGTGTGTGGCTGGTTTGTTGTGTGCAATACGTGCAGACGCGCATAGAGTTCATCCGTGGCATCCGGGAGAGCTGTGTGCCCGAGGTGAAGCTCACGCGGTCGCGCGACGGGTCCAACGGGACTGCCATGTTCAGATTCAGAGTAAGCCAGACAAACAACAACCCCCCCC